ACGTAAAAGACTGCCACAGGAGAAACCCCCTTTAACTTTACATACGGCACCGAAAGCAGTCATTCCAGCCGAGATTGAAGTCCCTTCACTGCGATTAGAAGCTTATGAGGACAAAGCAAATGAAGATGAGCTACGTACCAACCTCGACCTACTTGACGAAGTACGGGACCTCACATACATCAGGACCGCGACCTACCAACAAAGGGTAGCTCGGTATTATAACGCCAGGGTCAAAAAGCGGACTCTCCGCCTTGGCGACCTGGTTCTCCGTAAGGTTATGGTGCCTGAGGCAGGCGTTGGAAATCTCGGTTCGAACTGGGAAGGACCCTACCGAGTAAAGCGAGTACTCAGGGAAGGAACATACGAGCTCAAAACCCTAGAAGGGAAACAAGTACCTCGGGCATGGAATATTGTCAACCTAAGACAGTATTACGTATGAGTAACGGAGTAAACCGCGGGTCACTCTCAGGGCTCAAGTAGCCACCTCTATGACGCGAATGAACTTAAAGGGTTGAAACGCCGAACTAACCAAGGAGCTCAACACCATAGCACACTGCACCGAGGGCGTGGGCAGACCAGTAGACCCTATGGCGCTAAGCCCACCTTGGTGTACGTCACAAGGCAGTTCAGGCATACGCCTTACTATGTTAATCACCTCAGTGTACGTCACAAGGCAGTTCAAGCATACGCCTTACTATGTTAATCACCTCAGTGCACGTCACAAGGCAGTTTAGGCATACGCCTTACTATGCCTTACTATGTTAATCACCTCAGTACACGCCATAAGGCAGTTTGGGCATGCACCCTACTATGCCCTACTACGTCAAACCACTCCCCGCACACAACCATGATAAGGTCGGATAAAGCAGTACTTAGAAAGATCACTTGGAAAAGGGTCAATTTCATTAACAGATAAAGTTTGTACAACGAGTTCAACAGAAAAGAAAAACAACCAAGTACGAGGACTGAGCTCGCTGGCTCGAAGTACAAAGGTAATTACTTCGGGGGCTCTCCACCCCCGCGTGAGACCTCTTTAGGAGCTTCGGGCTGGTCAGGGGTTTCTTCGTCACCACCCTCCTCTCTGAGTCCAGGTCCTCCGCTACTTGACGAGCTATCTCGCCCGTGATTCGTGAGGTGGTGATGGCGCTTGTATCGAGCTCGGGGTACGTATGCCTTATTAGCCACCTGCTGAGCTTGAACCCCTTGCGATAGGCCTCCCCCAGAACGACATCAAACTTATCAGACTGGATGTAGTCAACGACGGCTTTGGCCTTCGTCTCCTCTATCGTCTGAGTGAAGATCTTAGTCTTCTCTGCGATGTCCGCCTTGAGGTACTCCACCTCGTGCAGAAGAACCTTCTTATTTTCCTTAAGCCCTTCCGCCTTTGCTCTAAGGGCATCCAGCTCGCCTTTCAGCACGGCCTTCTCGCGTGTCAACTCAACTTTAAGGGCCTCCGTCTCGCCCCTCAGCTCGTTATTCCCACGGGCCAGCTCGTCCTTCTCCGTCGTAAGCACCGTGATGACGCCCCTCTGGGCCATGGCACTGCTCTCCAACCGATGGATCTGCTCACGAGCTATCCTTAGTTTGGTATGGGGAGAGCGGGAAGACTCCTCGGCAGTCAAATCCCGCTTTAGGTTCCTCTCGAACTAAAGGGTAAGGGCATGCAAGGCGAAGTTCGCCTGACAAAGAAGATAGTTAGTACCGAAGAAGCACAAATACAAAAGGTAAAGAAAAGGGAAGGAAACTTACCACCATAGTGTGGGTGGCAGCCCGGGCTCCAAGCTGAGCAGGGTTGAGCATATCGGCCCAAACCAAAATCTCCTCGGAGTAAGTGGCTCCCTTGCTCTTTCGAAGACCGCATTGGGGGAGCAGGATGCTTTGGCCCCCATCTGGGCTCCCCGAACTGGAGATAGCCGTCTCGGCTGTGTGAATGGGCTCGGCGGAGACTCCAGCTACAACGTTAGAAACTCCGGTGGCAACCTCAGCCTCGGCTGCCGACCTCACAACGGCCTCAGCCAAGGCCTCAGTCTCCCTAGGCGGTAGAGACTCCTCCAATTCGATGATCGAAGGAGCCCTAGGGAGCTCGGGCTTAGAGACTGGAGCCGGTGGAAGCTGGGGCTCAGGAGTGGGGGCAGACAGTGACTCGATACGAGCTCTCTTGGCAGCCCGCTTATTCCTCCCCTTCATATGCTTAAAGAGCCGGTCTCCCTTGAGTTTGTCTACCTCCATAAGACCTGCAAAAGAGTTCGACATTAGTATTCGAGTAAAAGAAGGAAAAGAAGAGCAGACCAAACAACTAAGGTACTAACTACCTACCCGGGCTCAAGCCAGCCTGGAAGAGCATACCCTCTTTGATATAATCTCTGAAATCGCAGCCGACCTCAGCCCACGACTGGAATGCCTCCTTGGTCTTCCTGTCGAGTATGACGCCAGGGTCTTGGATAGCCACCCTCTAATGAGTAGGGAAGGGCCACCCCATGGGATTCCGGACTACGAAGTAGTCCTATTTCCAGGCCGGGACCTTACTAGGAAGCTTGTGCATTAGCTTAAAGCCCGGGCGGGAGGACAAGTAGTAGGCCCTCCTGTGCTCGGGAGGAACACGCAAATCGCTCTTCTTGATGGTGAGGATGGAGCAAAGTATGTCCAAGTTAAGGGGCATTACATACTCATAACAAAGAGAGATGGTCCCGACCACGTTACGGACCGAGTTCGGGTGAAGCTGGTCTATCATAACGTTGAAGTGTTTCAGGACCTCCACTAAGAGTGGGTGGAAGGGAAGGCGTAGCCCGGATATGAGCTGCTCTCGGAAGATCACAACCTCATAAGGGTCGTGCTCCCACGGGAAGTTCCCCGCAGGTAAACTGTAGGTGTACTCCCTTGGCAAGTTATATTGCCGAATGAGTTGGCGGAGCCTCTCCAAGGTCATGTTGGAGGGGCCAAACCTATATGGCATCCGAACTTGGTGAGAGGTAGATGCCTGGTGACCCGAGGCCTCCCGCGCCTTGAGAGACCGGACTTCAGTTGGGTTCCTTGAGCCGAGGTACCCACCTCGGGCACCTCGGGCTCATCTAAAAGGCTATCAAAAGAAGAAGACATACTTGAAACTAAGGAAGAGCTAGGGTGACTCACCAAAGAAAAATAAGACCGGACTGGAAAGGAACTAACCCGAGCTGAAGGCTTTGAACGCGAGCTCAAGACTACAGCTGAATGTTTTTGGCGAAGGAAAATGACCAAGACCCCCACTATTTATAGCCACTGTCCGTGGGCATCAACGGTTGAGATCGAAGCAATCTGACTGCCCTCATGAAAACTGGCTACGTGATTTTCGAGGCAAAATCAGTGTAGCGCGTTTTTTGACGTCCGCGGAGCCCATAAGTCGCGTGACATCCGCGCGTAGACCGTACGCGACCTGAGTTGCGCCTGACAGAACCGAGCAGAAGACCGGTCCAACCCATGAGCTGGCAGACAAGAAAGTTTGAACTCTGAGCCAAATCCACCCGGCAGACTGCGGACTCCCCGCACTAGGTCAACACCCCTAGCACGGGGAGTGGGGGGCAATTGATGTAGGGTGATTTGGCCCGACCTTGTAGCGCAAGGACACGTGGATACGATCTGGCATAAGTGACAACTCAGCATGACAGCCTGGCCGCTACTTGGCGCAGCAAGCTCGCCGAAGCCCAGTCAAACAACTCATCGGGTGTAACAGCTCGTCAAGAAGCCAGGCCCCCCTCGCCCCAAACCTGAGGATGGAGCACCCCGAGCTCCCCCATGCAAAGGGGACCCGAGCTCCTCCTAAGGGACTACGAGCTCTCCCTTCCTAAGAAGGAAGCACCACAACTTTTGGCTAAGTGTCCTGAGGGAGAAACACCTCAGGACAACACCATCAAGACACATGCTCGTACTTGCTTAAGGCTCGCCCCCAATACGGGCACCTCGGGGCCTCGGTGCAAGGCAGACTTGCCCCAGGTGGTTCGGTGGACGGTAGCTCGGCATACTGAAGGGAGATCTGCTTGACATCCATACCTGCCGGATCTGGTGGCAGTGCTTGAATCCCTTGTCAGGCGGCGTTCTGCCTGCCGTCTCTAAAAGGCATGGCACGCCTGACGTTCGTGCCCTACAGTAGCAGCCAGTAGTGGCAGCCTGCACCTGCCACCTATGCCTAGTCAATAACAGCTAGGGCAGTGATGGTTACGCCTGATGTGATCGAGCTCCGGTATAAAAGGACCCTGACCCTCAAGAAGAACAGGTATTGAAGCTTAAGCACTTTCAACACTCTTACCTTCTGTTCTTCCTTTGAGATTTCTCCAGTTCTAACTTAGTTATCGGAGTGTTCCCACCGAAAGAACTCCCCGAGAATCTTTCACCTTCTTCTCCCTCTCAGGTGCCGCCCGTCCGTGCTAGAAACCAAGTCACAGCCAGATAGGAGTGCCCAGATTGTGAGCATCAATAAGATCCGACGGGAGAGGAGATGCCGTGGTCTGAGTTTAGGTCGATAGGAGTGAGAGACAGAGATTCGAACTTGAAAGATTGAGACTGGCTTTTTTTGGGTGAAATGGGAGTTAACGGCCGTTTCATTAGCTCCGCACGAGACTGAGATGTATACGTGTGGGAAGACACGCGGCAACTTCTAATGGTGTGTGACGATTTTGGGGCGCAAGTCGGTAGGGCAGATTCGAACCCGGCAAATTCCTCAGGTGAGCCATATGGTGTTGGTGGACCTACCTCTCTCCCACTTCACAGTCTTCACCCTTGAACTTGATATGAGGTTTGGAAATCTGTTAGGACGGTAGTTGGTGTATCATCGATTCCCATCCTATCAAAGACTGGGCTTGTAAAAGAAGCATCATAGCTATTTCGTCGTTTCCTAGTCCGTATAGGAAGGAGTAACACTGATTAAATGATTTACCGTACTTCAGAGTTCAGACTTCAGAATTCAGATGCATTTAAAAGTTTCTTTCCTTTTAGTGGCTCATACTTATCTGAAACCATTAAACTCCGATTTTGTTTGAACGGGCTTTGCACCGACTGAATCCCATTTCGCTCGCTCAATAAATGGTGACAGTCGGGTAGTTGAGAATTGAGATGGGGAGGAGAGGCAGAGTCATACCCCTTTTTACCCACCGCTTCCAGTCCGTTGTTCATTCTTCTCAGATCTCTCATGTACATGGGTTCTCTTCTCGATCTCTTATTGGCAGCTCTTCTCCTTGCTACAGCCATCGGAGAAACGCGAGGTGATGCCTTGGTCACGGGCACCGTCTTTTGCGATCAATGCAGAGACGGGGAGAGAAGTCTCTTTGATTACCCACTCTCCGGTGATTCACCATTTTCTTCTCTCTCTCTCTTTCTTTTTACTGTATGTATTTAAGATAAGATACTCATTTTCTTTATTTGTGCGTTACGATCTGCAGGGGTGAAGGTTACGGTGGTGTGTGGGGGAAGCAACGGGCCGGCGATGATGTGGAAGGAGGACACGACAAATTGGTTCGGAAGCTATGCCATGAAATTCGAGGGCAGCCCGGACTTGAGCGGTTGCTACGCCAAGGTGTCGAACAGCGGTCAGGATGCGCCTACAGACTGTGGGGCATCGGCGGGGCCTCCCCAGAGTCTAACGCTCATGTTCAAGCTGTTTAACATGGAGCTTTATACCGTGGACCCATTACTTTCTCAGCCTGCCCAACCCATGTTCTTTTGCCCAACATCCGCCAAGCCTGTACCTCCACCTCCACCGCTGGTGGTAAACCCACCACCACCCAGTCCTCCATCGGTCAGGTTCCCTCCAATGCCGCCAGTCCCCTCCTTGGAAGCTTCCGCTTGTCCCTCCCGGTAAGTTTATTTTGCTAGGAATTTGTGATCAGTAAGCCGTGATCTCCCCCCAAGGCCCAAGCTATTTAAATGACTTTTGTTTTTCTGACCAAACGGATGTAATTTGCCAGGAGTTGGGTGATGCCTCAATACCGGTGTTACTGGAAGGTGGTGGGACCAGACACAAGAGTGGCCGTTGCTTTCGGACTGATCGCAGCAAGGAAGTATGGGACGGAGATGACCCTGTGGGATGGGCTTCAAGGGAGGGGGCAGCTGTACAGAACCCTTCTGAGAGAAGCGACCACCGCACTTCTCAATTCCTATAACAGCATTAGGTTTACGTACGATACACTTAGCGTGATCTTGCACATGAACTGGGCCTTGATGGGCTCTCCTCAACAGGCCCTTCAAACAGCATTAAGGTTTAAGAGGGCTAACTCTGGCTTTGGCAGGGTTCCCTGCGATTTCACCCCATGCAAGTACTAAGTAGTAGTGAATCATCATCATCATCTGGTGCATTTCCTTTTTTTTTTTTTTACATTACAACTATTCTTCACTGTCATTCAGTTGTTCTTGTGATGGTTATAGATCGTGGATTATGAGATGTAATTTAGGAAGAAATGTAAGAAGGATTGTGGTATCTAAATTCTTCACTTCAGTCCAAAATCATTTGGTGAAGAAGCTTTAAATGGGCTTGCTTGAAAAGCAGAGGGTAATAGCATATATAGGCAATTTTTGGGGTTTAATATCAATAAAAGTAATATATTTAAAAAAATTTCAAAAATAGGTTATTTTTTTTTTAAATAATATCAATAAAGGACAAAAATACTATTCATAAACCATTTGGGCTGTTCATGGGTCGGGTTGGGTCGGTTTATTGAGATTTTTTCAACCGACTCGACCTGGTTGGGTTACCTGAAATTGAAACCGAAACAAACCCTGTGTTAAGCAAAACCGACTTGGTCGGTTTGAATCGGGTTGGGTCGGTTTGGGTCGGTTTCGGCTTTAAGTTCAACCATGGTAATAAATTAGTAGATTGGAAAAAAAAGACTGAAATTTGATGTAAAAAAGGACACCTAATTCTATTAGAGAAAAAAGACTGAAATTGATAAAGGGGTGGACTAAGTTAGAATAGAAGTTATCAAGAAAATAAAAAGTCAAACTGTATTAGAGAAAGAAACTGAAATTTGTTATTTCAAAAAATAGGACACCTAATTCTAATTGTAATTGGCTGCCTATTTGGTGTAAAAGACCATAAAAACTAGGATCCTTTATTATTTTCTTTAAACTTTTCCAAAGAAATTCCTTGTCTAGTTGTCTTACAATACCTGCCATTAATGTCATTCTTAACTAGAAGATTAAAAATTAAGTTAAGTTGTAATTAGGATAGAGACAACTTAGTTAAGTAGGAACTAAATAGGTTGTAACTACTAACTACTAAGTTGGTTTGGTTTGGGTCGGTTTCGGTTTTCATATGTGAAAATCGAAATCGACCCAAACCATCGGTTTATGATTTTTTACAACCCGAAATCGACTGATGCTGAAGAAAACCCGGCCAACTCGGGTTGGGTCAATCCAGGTTGGTCGGATTGGGTCTTCTTACGAACAGCCCTAACCATTTGTTCACGAGAGCTGCTGCCCACCACGGCTGCCTATCACCTCTGCCTTCGGCAACGTTGTCAGAGGTGGTTGGAGGCAGAGGTGGCGGCGGTGGCGCTGGTGGTTTCTCTGTCCAATGCTGCCACCTCCGGCCATCTCTGCCTCCACCTCTGGCAATGTTACCGGAGATGGGTGGAGACAGAGGTGGCGGCAGCGGAGGGTAGAGGAATGACCACCAGCGCCACCTCTGCCTTTATATGCTAGAGACCCTTTAGCTTTTCATGTTTGCAATTGAAATAAACTATTTTGATTTTTGAATAAAAAAGCTGATGACCAGCCAAAAACTAAGTGGGTCTTTGGCATCGGAGCGTTTCACAAACGTTCCATTTTTGCTAATGTATCCGTTGATGCCTCATCAGCAATTAAACAGAATCGGTAAGAAAACCATATCTGCAATGATCGGTTTGGGATTCAGGAAAAGAGGAATTTCTTAAATTGTCAAATTGATGTTTTTTGAATCACCAAGGTGATGTGGCACATTGAAATTTGAAAATTTTCTGAGATGCCATAGAGTTTTCATTATAAATATATTATAATATTAAGCCAAATGACTTTAAATTCCCAGTCAGCCTGCATCTTGTTCTTTTTTTGTGTTTTTGTGTTTTTTTAAGTGAAATGAATCACTTGTGAAACAATCTAGTGCCAAATACTCACTAAAAAATCATTTTCCTTCTTCAAAACGTGGCTTTTCCAAATGTCTTTTTAGGCTAAAAATCACTTAGGCCTTGGTTTATCTTTTCTTTTCTTTTCGAAAGATTCATTATATTAAGCAAAAGAGAAAGAAACAAGGTCTTCCACTTTAGGTATCCCATCTTGATAGTCATTTAGAATAAAAGATGATTGATTGTGGGGTCTTCGCTAGTTGGGATACCTTGTGGGCTAAGCAGTTATATTTTCTATTTACATAATCAAAAAACACAAGTCTATAATCTGAAACTAGTAAATTTATCTTCGACAAAAGCCAATGGTAGGAGCAGGGTAGTATAGTTTTCTAATTGAGTGCTTCAATAACTTGCTGAGCATTCGAATAAATACAGACTTCATTGATTCCCCATTGAGAGATTTCTGATAATGCCTGCAAAATAGCATATAATTTAGCCTGCAAGACCGATGCAATATGGTTTGTTCTCCTTCCAATTATTCGAATGTAGGATAAGTTTTTGGAAAGAAATACAACACCATAGGAGTATAGGGAGTTTGAAATTTTACCAGCATCAATAAAAATAATAAGATCTACAGAATGGGATATGTTAAGGGTGATTTTGTCCATTAAGTGCAGAGCTCTGTGGAGATCCTTATCAATTTGTTACTTAGCTGTATGATAAGAGTAATTAATTTGAATGAGGATGGGGGATGAATGAGTCTTTTGTTAAAGATCATTTCATTTCTTGCATACCAGATGTAGTAGGAGGTTGTCGCTATCCAGCTGAAAATATTCATAAATAATGAGTGATCTGGAATTTGCTTATACAAATTTTTAATACAGCTACTCCAAGAGCCCGGATAAAGATTATGAAATTGGATATTCCAAGGATTTGCAAATAAAATTGCTTGAGTGAAGGTACAATCCATGAATAGGTGATCTAGATTTTCAATTTGTAATTCACACATAGAGCATGTTTTTAGATGATTATCATGAAAGATTTTATCTTTAACAGGGATGAAATTATTCAAAATTCTCCAAAAGAATAGTTGAAACCAAGGGTACAGTTTTAAGTTTCCAAAGTTTTTTAAAACAAAAAGATAGGTCAAGGTCTACTTAGGTATCCGGTGTTATTTGGATTTTTTTGTAACTTTCTTTTACTGTGAATTTGCCTAAGTTATGGTAGATCCAGACCCAAGAATTGGGATAGGAGTGAGAAAATGGGAGTATTTAAAAATCTTAAGGCTTCTTCAGTACCAAAAAAAGAATGTATAATGTCCTGATTCCATTGACCCTGGTGTATAAGCTGATCTATGTTGATACTTTTAAGATGAAGGCTAACGGGAAAGCTATCCAGAAAAACTGATTCCGATCTTGTATCCAAGGCCTTTGAAAGATTGGAAAGTTTGAATTTTCTTTAACTATGGCTCCGCCTTCAGAATTGAGTTCTATTAATGTTGGTGCCATGGATTTTCCAGAAGAAGGAGCTTGAAGTTGTAATGGAGTGGGGGAATAAATTTGACTGTTTTAGATACTTTTATTTCCAAAGTTGGGCCCATATTTATCTTGCTCATTCAGAAATCTCCAAGCTGTCTTTTTAAGAAGGGTTTTGTTAGTTAATTGTAGATTTCTGAATCCTAACCACCCTTCCTGGATTTTAGGTAGCATTAAGGTATTCTAGGAACACCGGCGGAAAGGGTGAGGTTTAGATTGAGAGGTTCCCCACCAGAAGTTCTTAATTATTTTTTTCATTTGATTCATGGTTTTTTGGGGGAACTTTACTAAAGTCATGGCACGAACTGGAACGGAATGATGAACATATTGAATTAGTACTTGTTTACCTACCTGACTTATAGCCGAAACCCTCTAGGAATTGAGTTTTGATTTTAAGTTATCTAGGATAAAGGCTAATTTAGAGTGTTTATTTCTATTCCAGAAGATGGGAAGTCCTAGATATTTGGAATCTTTATGTAATGGCTTAATTTTAAGTTGTTTCGAAATTAACCTTTGAAGTCTGGGATGAATGTTTTTACTACAGTAAATTCTAGATTTTTCCATATTCACTAATTGACTTGAAAGGGATTGAAAATTGTTGATTATTTGTATCAGATTACCAATTTCTGCTCTATGGGCTCTGATGAAAATCATAACATCATCTACAAAGAAAATATGGGAAATTTTTGGAGAGGATCGGGAAATGGGGATACCTTGAAGTTTTCCTTCTTGTTTGGCTTGGTGAATGAGTCTTGACAGCCCTTTCATTGCTAGTATGAGAAGATAAGGAGACAAAGGATCTCCTTGTCTCAAACCCCTAGAAGGATGAAAATGACCTTCTAAAGTTCCATTAATGAGGACTGAATAAGAAATAGTTGAGATACATTCTTTGATTAGCTGGTAGAAATTTGGGGTAAGACCCAAGAAATTTGGGGTCAAACCCCTAGGAATAAAAGCTGCTTGGTTTGGGGAGATACATTTGTCTAAGACTTTACGAAGCCTACCAGGTATAACTTTAGCAATTATTTTATAGGTGACGTTGCATAGACCGGTAGGTCTAAAGTCCTGGACTTTAGTGCAGTCCACTTTTTTTGGGAGGAGACAGATAAAGGTATGGTTTAGCTTTTTTAGAATTTTTTTATTCTGGAAAAATTCTTGTACTAAAAGAACTAAATCCGGTCCCATCAGACCCCAGAATTCCTTAAAAACGAGGGCAAGCATATACCATCGGGACCTGGGGATTTTAGACTCCCAATACTAAAAGGGACTTTTTTAATCTCCTCAGCAGAAGGAATAGTTGTGAGCATGCTATTTTCTTCCTCCGAAATTATTGGGGTAAATAGATTTGATATTTCTTCTAACTCTTCATGAGTTTGGGAGGAGTAAAGATTAGATAAGTAATCAAGAAAAACTCTAGTGATGTCAGTATGGTCAGTTTTCAAATTATTTTGTTTGTCTTTAATTCCTTCTATATAATTCCTTTTCCTTTTAAAGAGTGTACTCTTATGGAAGAAATTTGTGGTTTTGTCTCCCAGTTGCAACCAAGTTTGACAAGAGAAGTTTGTCTCCAAAAGCTTTCCAGCTGAATGGTTGCATGATTTAACTCCTTATATAAATTATTCTCCTAATCAATGACTCCTGATTGTTCCAACTAAATTATTTGATCTTCTAAATTCTGGATTTCGATTATTGGTTCAATGAATTGGGATTTCCTCCAACTGATTAAATGTTTCTTTAGAGTATCTAATTTTTGAGTATTTCGATAGGCAATATGGCCATTAATTGAAATCTACCAACTATCCTCAATGATTTGCTTACATGAAGTTTCTAACAGCCACATCTCAAGGAATCTGAAAGGTTTGGGGTGGCTGAAGATTTTTGAGTTCAGATTCAAGAGGAAGGGGTGGCGATCTGAGCGCCATTTAGAACCTAAAGATAGGGTTGCATGAGGAAAGATAGATAGCCAGTTAGGAGACATGACAGCTCTATCCAGGGTTCTTTGGATGTGTCCTATTGTTCTTTTGTTTGTCCACGAAATGCCTCCTTGTAAATTTAACTCAAGTAAATTGTGTTCAATTATCAAATTTCTGTATTGTTTGGAGGCTAATCTAGAGGAATTGTAAGAAGTTGAATGTTCTAAAGAGATTATAGAGGCAGCTTCATTGAAGTCCCCAATGAGCAGATGTGGATTATCTAAATTATGTAACTTTGAATTCAGATCTAACCAAAAATTACTTCTAAGGTGTTTCAAAGTAGGACCATAAATGAAAATAAAAAACCAACTACAGTTAGAAGAGTGAACTTTTAAGAAGACATACCTCGAAGTTGAAAGCTCAATAGTAACCAAAAAACAACTTTCCACATTATTGCTAATCCTCCGGCTCTTCCATCAGGATTAACAATGATAAAATTAGGATAACGTAATTTAGTAGTTAAAGAATTTATTTTAAATTTTGGAAATTTTGTCTCACACAAAAATATAAAGTCTGGGCTTAATCGGTGGACAAAGTCCCTTAACCCCTGAATTGCCTTGGGGCATCCTGCCCTACGGCAGTTCCAGCTTATAATAATCATTGATACAAGTGGGGCTGATAAGGGCCAGCCACCTCCACCCATAGAAAGTGAATCACTAGGGAGACAAAAGTAAAAATAGAGACTTACCGCTTCCTGATTCTCTGAAGCATTGAGATTCACAAAGTCACTGAAGATGGGACGACACCATGATCGTCGTAAGGTCTGCTTAGCTCTCAGCCATGGTCCTGGGTGATTCATGGGACGTTGGTTAAAAATCTGATCAAAGGAATGTCCTGAAGTGTTCGGGATGGGCTGAGAACATTGACGAAACAGATGACCAATTCTTCCACACACATAACAGGTCCTAGGGAGATCTTTGTAGAGGCGCTAGAAGCAGGCTATTGGAATCCATATTCCAGAGCTTGTAGAGGCCTTGAACTATGTCATCAAATTGATCAGTTAAACGGGGAAAGGGACGACATATAAGAGAAAGCTGCCAGTTTTTACCAATACCTGGAGGAATGAGGTGTTGGATGTTTACCACATCTACTCTAGCATTTCCGTTTCCCTGGAGCATTTGTTGGAATGCTTCATTGAGAGCTTCCGGATTCTCCATTGAGTAGAGGAAAGGGAGAAAGACTGGGAAGACTTAGATACTGGGAGAGGGAAAGACAGTAAGTGGAGAAGCGTTAGAATAGAGGAAGAACAGGCAAGAGAGTAAAGAGAATAAAAGAAACTAAAAAATATTAAGACTATTTATTTAGATTACTAAGTAACCCAAATACAGGCAACTAGAAAAGCAAACTATAGATGATTAGTTCAGATCTAACTAGAAAATTCAACAGAGATAATCTAACAAAAGCAAAACGGTAAACATAACTCCAATTTGCTGTAACTATGCATTAAAGATGACAGGTGGTGTAACAAAATAGCGAATTTATGACAGATCAATAGGAGATTTGAGATAAGTGTACTCCCTATAATTACTCAAATTGCTTGCAAAAGTTATAGTGCAACGTGTTAAAACGCCGACAGTGAAGCTTCACGCTGATTTTCGAAGTAGTGGCTATGTATAATCATTTACTTGGTTTTCTAAACCAGTCGCATTTTGAGTTGCTTTTACATCTTCTTTATCATCTTAGTTCGTTGGAGCGATTGTATACCGACGATAATCACCCTTTACTGAATCTACATGACTGGAATCATCTTCACGAAACTAACAAACTTTTCATCCGAAAAAATGAGTTCTTCTGCATCTTCAATTCCTCCCTATCCTTGATGATGTGGATGGAGCTCAGCTGATTGTGTATTGGAGCTATAATCTACCACTTTGGGTACTTGTAGTCGAAGAATCTGATTTGGGTAATATGTCTTTTCAGCTGATTGTGTATTGGAGCTCTAATCTACCACTTTGGGTACTTGTAGTTAAAGAATCTTATTTGCACTCTCAATTTAAGTTCCAACTTCAAACAACGCAGAATGTTCAGGCCTTGGTTTATCAAGAGGGCACTTACCTGGGTAAGTGCACCTACCAAGTTCTTTTTTGATAAATGTATCCATGTAAATGAGGCTTCTCAACTTGGCCTCACCCACTTTCCTGAGTAAGTGGTTAGTTATTCCAAATTTTGTCAATTTTACTCTTGGGCCCAAGTCCATGTTTTTTGGACTATATATGTTTAATGGGTATTTTTGACTGATTGTATTTTGAGAATTTACTCTTTACTTGGGAAATTCAATTTTCCTTTTCAATAACACTTCTCCACAGAGGGAAAGTCCGACTTCCCCCCTAATAAAATCCGGGAAAAGAATGAGGCCATAATATTTTGTGAGTAGAAAAATGTGTAAATAGGTTGTTATTGATCATTGAATCCTTTGCCATTAACCACCTAAGTTAGGAGTGAATACTGAATTGAACATGCCACTTAACACAAAATATAATATGGCAAATTGGCAATACGTGGAGCTTTTTTAAGACTTTCTTCTGTCAACCTTAGAACTTCACACATTCCATAGTTATTACTAAATGCAAATGCAATGGTAAGATGGTTTTCCTTGATTTAGAAAAAATTAAATTCAAAAATTTGGTTGAAAAAGCATCTTCATAAAATATGGAAAATTCCACAAAATATTAAAGTTGTCAACTTTATGCTGCCACGATATAAATAAGTCTTAAAAATTAAAGTTGCAGATTGATTAGCCAACGTAGGCCACTCATCATATCTCCACAATTTGGAGAGTTTAACTTCTAGAAGTGGAGTTTGTGCAACTTTTATTTTTGGATAATTATAATGAACCCCTATAGGTGACAAATACCCCATGAACTTTCATTTGCGACAAAGTCCCTCTAATTCTGAACTTTCATCTTGCAACAAATATCTTCTCAGTTAGAGTTTGGTGTATAAAAGGATTATCATTTAGTCGTTTAAAATTTTTTAAATCTCAAACCTTTAAATGTAATATTTAAACCCTCTCAGTTGCTCCAATAGATTCCTGAAGATTTTTGGATGAATCCAATATTCAAATGAAATGATAAGGTTTCTTTTCTGATAGATATAAATTTATGGTTTTGTTTGGTTTTTTTTTGATTTATTGGAGAAAGGAGTTGATAATTTTTGTATTTTAAGATGATGGATAGATATTCATGCGAGTGAAATGAATCAAAACGTTAAAAAAGCTTTTCTTTTTCTATGCCATTGAAATGAATCTTATTGTTTTAGCTGGTTTCATTTAGAGAAAAATGGATGTATTTGTGGTCAATTAAGAATTTAAGAGAAACGGGCAATAAAAACAAAATAAAAAAAGTTTAGGTGGTATGAGTTTTTATCCTGTTTTCTTTGGTATGAGCTTTTATCCATAAAACATAATTTTTTTATCCATAAAATTTGTTTCCTTAGGTTGTGTTTGGAAACGATGCAAATAAGTGTGAATGCAAATATATAGTGTAAAATGGTTCATATAAACTGCAAAATTGAGTTAGTTTTGCATCGACAAATTTATCTTCTTACCAAACTGACTATTTCCTGTAATGGATGCAAACATGAATTTCAATAAAGTATATGCTTTTATTTTTATCAAAAACCCACTTGAATGCAAATTTACTTCTTTTTTATTGATGTACTTTTACATCTTATTATCAATGTAAATATGCATTAATCTATCATTTGTCAATACATAAATATAATGTTGTCAAACACAAGCAAAAATGAATCAAAGTACAAATTTATCCTAAACATCGTTTCCAAACACAGCCTTAATTATTTTTGGAATTGTAATAGCAAGTATCCCACCCTTAAATTTGGTCTGACTTTCTAATCATAATGACAAAATCTCCGTGAATTGTGATGAATACCACCTCATGTATTTCGGGTATCATGTATTTTAGTATGATAGTCAAGCCCAAACACAATATAAATCTATATAAATCATTGATAGGATTTTTTCTTTAGGAAAATCTATTCTGGCGGAAAGACATGATACGGGATAGGATTTGATCAATCAAAACCCGTGAATCTTGATGAAAAAACCCGTTGATTGATTCTAAATTTTCTGGTACTATGCTTTCCAGCATAGCATACCCAAAAACAAGCTTTTATACTTTTATAACTTTATACGAAACCGAGAGAATGACCTGCGAGGTGAATCAACCGTGGTCCAATGTGGCCAAATGAGTTGCCACATGGCAAATGGTGCCTTTGGGCTACATCCCCAATAGTCAAAAGTCAAAAGTCAAAATCTTTGCCCAACAAAGGTAATGAGAATAGAATATCTAACGGTTGAGAAATACAATTTCTTAGCAAAAGTCATGTTCCTTCTGTCGGAGTTGATTTCAGTTTATTCCTACTATTGCTCACCAAATGTTCGACTAATTTACTCTTGTTGAATTCAATTAGGTACCATTAGAACAAGTCGAATATCTACAGATGGAGATTTGGGTATGACTGTCAAGTCTCTTCCAATTTCATCCAGCTTCAATGGTCTCACGGGGGTTCGACTCGTAAATGTGCACTGAGTTGATTTCCATTCACAATGTTCTTAGCTTATATGATTACTTCTTTCCAAGCTAATATTACACCAAAAAGGTTATTATTTTCTCTTCGCTTCATCTCCATGCAACGATCTATACAGCATAACTCACATGTCTTGGGAAATTTGAGTTCTTTTACCCATCTCTTACACCATTCCTTTCAGACTAAGAGTCTCAGGGCCACAAAGAGTCTTCATGCTCATCTGCTCCGAACAGGGTTAATATTCTCCTCTCTTAACCTTCACATCGAACTAATTTTAAACTACGCCACATGCCTTGGCAATACCACCTTTCAGACAATAACTAACTTGATTGGCTTTATGGACCCTACCAACCTGATACCATTCACTGCTCTCATTTCTGGTTTCTCTCGCCGGGGCGTCCCTAACTTCGCTCTCCAGACCTGCTCTTTCATGCATGTTAGAGGCATTCCCTTGGACGGATATGTTTTGTGTAGCTCTTTAGCTGCTTCATCTTCGATCAAGATGCTGAGATTTGGTAAACAGATACATGCCCATGTATCAAAATCAGGTTGGTCCTCTAGTGTCTATGTGGGTACTGCATTGGTTGATTTGTATGTGAAATCGTCCATGATAAATGATGCATGGAATGTATTTGTTGAAATCCCACTAAAGAATACGGTGTGTGTGAATGCTCTTTTATCGGGTTATGCAGAAGCTGAGTTGTGGATTGAGGGACTTGAGTTGGTGCAGAGGATGCAAATGTATGGGTTGGATTATGATCACATCACCTTGTCTGCATTGCTACGTATATGCACTGGACTAGCAGCAATTGAATTGGGTAGGCAAGTGCACGCTAATATGATCCGTAGAACTTCTTATCTGGAGAGAGATGTGTTTCTACAGAGTTCACTGGTTGAGATGTATGGGAGAAGTGGGCTAGTGGAGAAAGCACGGCATGTGTTTGATTTGTCTGGGATTAGACAAGAAGGAAATGAAGGGGGAAAAAGAGATGTTGTTTTATGGACTTCAATGCTTTGTTCATATGGTAAAAATGGGCGGTTTGATGAAGTGATTAGGTTGTTTGACAATATGGTAATGAAAGGGATAAAGCCTGATGAGGTGGCTTTTGTGGTGGTAATATCTGCTTGTGGTCATAATGGGCAAGTGAGCCTTGGGATTGAGTATTTCAAGTCCATGGCTCGTGACTTCAAGTTGGAACCTGGCCCAGAGCATTATAGTTGTGTGGTTGACTTGCTTTGCAGGGCAGGCGAATTAGAGATGGCATGGAGTTTAGCAAGTGAGAATGCTAGTAATAGCATTTCTATGTGGGTGGCATTGCTTAGTGCTTGCAACAATTTTGGGAACATTGAACTGGGCAAGTTGGCTGCTCAAAAGGCGCTTGAATTAGATCCTCAGAATTCTGGAATTTATGTTTTGTTGTCCAATCTATATGCAAGGTTTGGTATGTGGGATGAGCTTGAGAAATTGAGGGAGTTGATGAAGGAAAAAGGATTGAAAAAAGATGTAGGATGCAGTAGGATAGAGGTCAAAAGTTGAATTATAGTGAACATCTCTGTATTTTCCTTAATATTTTTTGGGCAAGGTTCTAGTGTTATGAATCATTTTTTTCTATGTCATCAGTAGGATCTGAGCAGGCACTAAAATTTTGCCAAAATCTTTTGATCATGGATCCTGATTTGTCTTATAGAATGGAATGATAAAACAAGATTCATGTAGTCGATCCCATATGATAGGGACAAACCTCAGATGTTGATGATAATGATCAGTAGGATCTGAGAAGAAATTTATGGAATAAACAAATTGTGGTCTGTTTGCTTTGCAGGAATAGAGGTTCAGAATCAGAATCAAAATAGTCCATTTCAATTCCAACCATTTGGTTGGATGGAACCGGAATTTGATTCCTATTCCCAGCAGAATGGCATTCCCCCATTTGAGGGAATGGCCATTGTTGCCCCCTCCCTTGGGAATGGGAATCCCATTCCAGCTGGTTTAAAAAGAAAAAAAGCAAATAATAAAAAAACCCCAAACTGAACAGGACAGTGTTGCTCTCTCTCTCTCTCTCTCCTTCCCCCGTTTTCTAGACCACCATTCTCAAGTGCAGACATATATAATCCCATCCCTGCAACCATTAAGAGCAGCATGAATCAAGGTATGATCAATTTTATTTGTTTTATTGTTTTCTTTACTGGTTTTTTATGTTGGGCTAGTCAAGACAATTGTTGAGCATTATATGGTAAAGATGTTAGGAATTTTTTTTTAGTTGCCATTCTGCAATAATAGTGTTTGTTGAAATGCCTTAGTTGTCTGTTCACCTCCATGAAGAATATTCTTGTCTCCCCATAAGTTAGATAGTATCATCTCTTATGTTCTTCTCTTTGCTAACTGAACAAATGGTTAATCTCTTAAGTTGGACCCATTCAACTATAACTATTGTTCTCATGAGAATATAGAAGTTGTTTCTGACAATCTGCTCTAACCTTAACGGCAGATGTGTAAATCAGGCTATGTGTCAAACACAGAAGCTGGATGAGTGATATGGTTTCTCCTCTTCATAGTATTTGGCACAATGTATGAAGAGTAGGATTTCTTTTCAAAAAAAAAAAAAAAAAAATGAAGAGTAGGGCTGCTTCTTAGAGGATCTCCCTGCTCTGCAATTTCGCATGACACCGAATGCTACCACCGTCAACGGCTGCGTCATTGGCACTAAACAGTTGACTGGTATAGTGCGACATCTGGAATTGAAATACCATTTCTCCTTTGTTGTATTTCCATTTGGGTTATACATCATTGAGATTTCTCTTTGCGCAGGTTAGTAGGGTGCTCATCTCATCAACCCCGGCATACTCCGAAATCTGAAATTGAAATACCATCTTCATTTCATTGGTTAGGAGGTGAGTTCATCTCGGCTACTATGATGTGTATTTTGTTTTTCACGTTCAATGGTATTTTGGTGCACAATAGAGATCTGAAGCTCCTTGATTAAGTAGAAATGTGTATCAAATATCTATGTGGCATTTTTTTTGTCTTCTAAATTTAATCTGATTTGTGGCCTCTGTTTTGAACATGTTTCTGGCCTCTGTTATCTATTTTAGAAAATGTGGCATTTCTATAGTTCAATATTGATCTCTGTCAGTGTGATAAATCCATAAAACTGCAAGATTGTCCTGTTTTCTTCTGTATGAGGTTTTTTTATCCATAAAATTTGTTTCCTGAATTATTTTTGGAATTGCAATAGTAAGTATCCACCCTTACATTTGGTTTGACTTTGTAATCCCAATATTAGTCATTGATAGGACTTCATTCTTTAGGAAAAAATATATGGTGGTGGAAAGACACGATACTGGATAGGATTTGATCAACCAAAACCCCTGGTGAATCTTGATGAAAACCCACCTAATTAGTTAGCACTTTTATGGTGCCATTTGATGGATTCTAAGCTTTTCCAGTGTCATGTCTTTCTGGCATCCTTTAATAAAGCATACAAAAAAACAAGCTTAATATTTCGTGGGCTAGACCTCAACATGGGTTGGGTTTGGGTTGAAGCCTCAAGTAGCCTAGAACCTAACCCAACCCACCCTGAGCCTGACCCAAACCGGCCCTCTGTATCTGAGCTTCTATAATAAATGCCCTTTGTGTCTTTTTTCCATGATGTTTGACTATGATACTAGAACTTGTAACCAATCAATCGGTATAATAAAAGTGGTAACCAATGAGGTGATATTTATCAAAATTTATGGAGGGTTTGTATCATGTCTTTTCCAGCAGCATAGATTTTTCCATAATGTGCAACATATTTACAATGCTCGGTACACTGTAGAGAGGCTTTGTTGTAATACAGTATATATGTATTATTTAGTGAGATTTAGATCCTGTATTTGTAACTTGGACTATAAAGCCTATACATGAAGGGGTAGAGCACAAAACATGAATAAAAAGACTTTAATCTGACGATCTTTAGCTATCTGGACTTTGGCCGACAAAATCCAGCTTTGACCTCTGGTTGGGATAGTCCTGGGCCTGAGGTCCAGATTTTGGTCATAGGCTTTCCTTGGCCCTAAAACATCCTTAAGTTCATCGATAAACAAAGAGCCCGAAAAATGAATAAATGATTTATAAAAAGTACAAAACAGATGGACATAAGATTGTCTGTTGGATTAGACTACTTGCAGGATAACTGTTAAACTTTCTATTTCTTGCTTTGAAAGTCTAACCATGCTCTAACCATATATAAGATTGTCTGGTCCTAATCTATTTCTATAAAATTCTAGATAGAATGAAAGGATGGTTAGCAGAACTCAACTTTAAATTAACTGTTGGGCTTGTGTAATTTCAGGTACAGATTGATTCCAAAATGCTTGTTAAAAAGATTGATCATGAAAGACACCCAAAGCACAGGCTCATGCTGGGTCACATCGATGATTGTGATCGATGCAAGGAATGAGGGATCAGATTGTGTTGCCAATGTGAGGAGTGCAAATGTGCAATAATTTGTATCTCGTGCAATTCACTATTGTTCCATCCACCACATATTATACGAAAGAACCCTTGAATTTCGCAGGGACCCGGGCAATGTATACTGCGAAGAATGCACAAAGAGCATAAATGGATTATCGTACCACAGCACTACAGCAGCGGCGGCAAAGGTTATGCCTTGCACTCGTCTTGTGCTACACCGCCACTATTCTGCGAAGCGAAACTGATGGAGTGCAATTAGTTCTTAAGAAAGCATCTCCTCTAAGTGCATCATCCTCTGTGGAAGAAATGTGTTCTTGAATGTCTCCTGGGAGAGAATCACAGGCTGGGCATATGAGTCCAAATGTGGCGAGTACTGTTATCATTCCTCGTGTATCGGACGAAGCAGCGTTTTTGACCTTAACCATGATGAGAATCAAAAGAAATAAAGAATAAACCAGTGTTCGGAAGAAGGGTTTCTAGTTCCCAGTTGCAGCGCCAAGCTGTGGAGGTTTGACAAGAAGGACGCTTTCGAGGATCGCAGAGCTGGTTCTCAAGTTTATAACCACAAGCAGATATTACCACCACAAAAGTATCACTTTCATTGCCATGCTATCGAACAATTATGCATCTGTTTAGCATCGATGCCATTGCCTCCAGAAAACGATAATACATCAGTGTTATTTCAGGAAATATTAATATGTTTAGAAACATTTTTCCATAAAAAATGGTGTTCTAAGCTAAGCCTTGAAAACCGAGATGGTATGGTTTAGAGCAACACCAAATTTAATGTTTTTTCATATTGGAGTTCATTGCTGTCAACGAGAACATGATGTGGCAGTGACGTAAACTTCCAATAATAGGTACCAATGCTGAAAACAGATATGGAACACTGGTACCAAATAGAAAATATTGTTGTTATTCTAGGAAACGTCCTATTTAACAGCAATGTTTCTAAACAAAAAAAAGCACCGTTTTCTTAGAAAACGATGCTTCCAACCCATATATAAGAAAATGGTGCAATATGTACAACATTGATGCCAAACATATACTTTATCATTTCACCTAACTGGCCCTTTTTACCACATGAACAAAGCATTGAAGTCCACAAAATATCTCTTTTTCCTTCTTCATTTCCTTGTTATCTAATCCCAGTCAAACCATAGGTAGCTTATTAGACTTTCTAAGAAGTCCAATTTAAAGAGTTCTCCCTAAAAAGAGTCATGTTGACATTTTTTTTGGTAAATATCATTTATCAATCCTCTTTATTTTATTGAGAATTATGCATTTCTTAAAAGTCCCTATTTTCACTTAAATATCAATGTTACCCTCATGATTCTATGCAGCATATTTCGTCACACAACCATGCACCATTGCTACAAAACAATTATTACCTAGGAAAAATTGATTTGATCAAAATACTCTTCCATCAACAAATTGACCATAATAACCCTAGAATGACAAATTAACCAAAATCAACATATAAGATACAACAACCAATTTCATAGGAGCCAATTAGGCCCGATGAACACTGAATTGACCAAAATGTCCCTATTCATAGCTAATTAATCAAAATGCCCTTACATCTAATAAAAGTAGTCATTATTAATATTTTACCCAAACTGATCTTCAAAGTATATGGCATTGGATATTAATGTTTCCATCATAATTGTGGACCCTTATATCAATAAATTGGCCAAAATACCCCTAATACTCTAAAGTAACAAATTGACCAAGATATACAAACGAGATGCAACAACCAACACGATAGGGGCCAATAAGTCCCAATAAACAATGAGTTGACCAAAATGCCCCTATGTTCAACATGTATTATTAAAAATATATTATCCAAAATGACCATAATTCTTCTCTATCATTTATTCATAAAAAGAACTTTCACTATTGTTGATCATGTAAAATATGAGCCCGGATCTCCTGAAACAAAAACTTTGCACATACGGCATCCAGATGTTGTACATTGAAAATCTTTCTCATACATATTTGTTAAATTAACGGGGGGATACTCCATATGTGTGATTGAATTCTCATACTTTTTAGGTTATGTTTGGTTTGAAGGAAAATATAGGGAAAGGTAGAGAAACCTTTTACAACCACTGTATTGATTTCTCTGTCTTTCTCTTCCTTTCCCTATCTTTTCCTTCAAACCAAACATAGCCTTAGGGTGCATGCAAAGTTTTTGCATGCGAGAAATCCCTTGGCATAAAATACATTGATATGAATTGTTATTTATCCAAGTAAAATGGAAACAAATCCATGATCAATATCTTCCCCACATGCATTTTATGTAAAGAGTACAGAAAAATCTCCAAGCATTAGATTATACATAAGCTTCACCAAAAGCTCTAGAGTCTGTCCCTTCTATTCATTTTCAATTAGATAGCTATTGTATCAAATACACCTTCACATCAAGTACTTCATCACACAATTGACAACTCACATACTTGGGTCAGAGATATAGCTAAAACAAATAATGCTTTTGGACAACAGCCAATATCAAATCAAATTGTCCGTTCTTTTCTAGATTATTGCCAAATGATTAATGAATACATACACCGAAAGTTTAATCTCTTTCCAATTCCCAGACCAATTTCATCCTTTTTTTTGGTAATCCAATGTTTCATTAAAACTAGAAAAATAACAAAAAAAAACATGCACCTAAATTAATACTAGCAGCGCCAAAGGCTTTGCTTCTAGAGACAAGGTTGCCTTGATTTGCCTATAATTAGCAGGGCCAAAGACTTTTTTACCACCAATCTGCATTGTAATCTTGACACCCTCAAGCAGCACCAAAGACTCTGCTTCTATAGCCGAAGCGGTTTGCCCACAATTAACAGCAAACAAAGTCTCCACAACTGCCTTGGACTTACAATACCAAAAGAAGTAACTCCCGTCCCCTTGAAATCTACATCGGAGTTAATTTTTATTAGCCCTTGCACTTCTATCTAGGGTGGTTCTTGAAAGTGATTGTGGATTCTGTAGCATCTCCATTGCCCTTCTATCTAGAGTGCATCACATTCCATTTCCTTATAGATTTGAGGAATGATTAAACAAATGAAAGAATTCGATTCTAGAATGAATGATTAAACAAATCCAACATGCATCTAAGGCCCCGTTCTCTTTTCGGGAAGCTACTCACTTGGTTAAGTGCATTCTCCGGGTAACTACATTTAACCGGATAAATGCACTCACCAGGTAAATACATTTACCCATGTTGTTTTATTTCCCAAGTAAATAAGAAAATAACCGTTTTAGCTAAGGATTAAAGTATTTGTATCTGGTATCGTATCAGACAACTTGGATGCGGATACGCTTGGAAAACGCATGGATACAAACTAAAAAACATGGAGACACTTGGATACGCTAAGAAAATGCATACAAATTCCAATAAATATATTAATAGAATTAAATTTTATGTCAAAACAACTATAGATAATATATAAATATATAGGAATTGTATATTTAAATGATATATATATATATACATACATACATATGAAAAAATATATTATAATTAATATAATAGGACATGTAGATATTATACAATTTTTATTAATAATGCTTCAATCAAGATTCCAAGGCAAATATTATATAGATTTTTACAAATTAATACATACAATAAGCCAATATTATTTTATTATCTATTAAACTGTAAGGCATAAAGCTTATGCAACTATTATATTTGAACTATTATATCATTTTTTCTATTTTACTATTTTTATTTTCTAACATTAACAAAAAATTCAACTAAAAAATTAATTCTTAAATGTTTGATAAATGATATTTATATTTTTTAAACAATAAATATGTTATTATAAAATGTAAATTAAAATATCAATTAATAATTTATAGAAATATATAATCTTAACTTAAAATATATCAAATATATTAAAATTTTGAAAATGCACATCATATGAAAATTCATAAATTTTAATTAATAAAATAATTATTCCATTATTAATATTTTATATTTATAAAATTTCAAAGTTAAAAATTATTTTTTATATAAAATGTAGATTAATGGATTTGATAGATTCAATTTATATTATATTTTCAAAAACTTTGTAAACAATACTTTTGTTTTTGTAAATAATAAATAAATTGTTATTCAATGCAAATTAAAATATTAATTAATAATTTATAAAAATTTAAGATATATATATATATATATATATACACATATACATATACATATGTGTGTGTGTGTGTGTAGATTTTATAAATTATTTATTCCATTGATTTACAAATACTAATTTTTAATATTGTTCTTTTTAATTTATAGTTGAAGTTTTTGAAAACAAATGTATGTTGTTTTTTATTTGCATGTAAACATGAAGTTTAATAAAAGTTATTTTATTACACGTATTAACATTAAATAACAAATGGCTTTTTGGTTAATATACATGTGTGCTTGGGCAGTGGGCATTCACCAAGTTGGGTTTGAGTCACGTTCCCTCCATTTTTTTATTGTGACACTGGTTAATACACTTTTGTATTGGTGCGTATCGGCTGATACTATGCGATACATGCCAATGTAGTAGCGTATCGGACCAATACGCACGACTGGTGTATCGGTGCAGTCTGATATTGATATGATACATCTCGTATTGGGCGTATCATATCAATATTTCAATCCTTTGTTTTGGCCATAAAAAAGCTATTATTATTATTATTATTATTATTATTATTATTATTATTATTATTATTATTATTATTATTAAAAGGGGCCATTTTGTTCCATCCAAGTGTTGACAACTTTGCCCCAATATGAGAAAGTTACTTTATCCACCTAAGAGATGGGATTATTCAGGCAAGTGATACCTAGGGAAAATAAATTTTCTGTAGTCCCCATATAAATTCGAAAAAAGAACATGGGTATCTTGGTCAATGGGAACCAAAATCCCATTGACCAACTTTCCCCTCTCAAAATCTAAAAAAAGAACGGGCCCTAAGAGTAACTACTCCACATTCTAGAATTAAATGTGGCCTTATTACCAAAAAGTTAAAAGAATAGAAAAGAAGTTCTAAGCATTCTTGAAGACAATGCATATTAATACCTGAAATCTTTAGAGGATTCAAATCTACCATGATTTGTTATGCTTAGAATTAAATGTGGACTTATTTATTTGTTATTTTTATTAGTAAGGCAAGAAGGATTTAGTTGTAGTATTTTTCTTTTATGTTTGTTCTCTTTATTTCCCTCATCTCTTAAAGAGGGTAATTGTTATCTTTTCACATTTAGTTTTACTGTTAATAAAACAAGACCGCCATTGGGGCCTGCTATAACTGATCTCTATGTTCAGCCAACTTCAAACGAGAGATTAAAATGGTCTAGCTTTTGAGGAATGGATGATACTAGGTGTTGTGCATATTGATTTTTGTGGTTCTTTAGTTGACATGTTAAATTTCTTGGCCAAGGGTTTTGCAAGAAAAGAAATTAATGGACCTTCAACAAGAGGCAAAGCATATGGTTCAAACTTCAATCTAAGCAAGCCAATTGTCACATGCCTATCCTCCTTCCTAGCCACATGCGGCCATGTGGTTGCACTATTTGCTTCCACAAGTCAGTTTAACTCCTTGGCATTGTCTTTGGCTCTTGGACCAAGTGGCACACTCACAACTTTTACACAAAATCAAAGCTAAAAGACTTAAGAGACAAAGGAGCATATCAAGGTTTAGCTTAAAAGTACTCTTTATTAGCTCAATGATAATGGTATATGCCTTGCACCACCTTTGAGGTGCAATCCTAAGCGTTCATTTTCCACCTCCTTAC